GGAAAGTGAAGAAGAGAAAGTCCACCAGGAGGAAGCCACCCTCCCAGGCCACGCTGAGCTCCCCAGGTGCATGGAGACCAACCTAGGAAAGGAAGAAGCCAGTCAAAACTGAGGTTATAGAGTACATCCCACTAGGAGAGCACCCTAGAGCCAGAGTGAGGAAGAAAACAATGGCTAAAAAAAAAAGAAGAAAAGCCAGTTGTTGAGCTGGCTCAGAAAAGGAATAAAAAGAAGAAAGACAGCATGGTAACAGTAGACCCTTGGAAGGAGAAGCCAGATACAGACCTGGAGGTGGTGATGGAGAAGAAAGGCAACACTGACGAGGCGCACATAGACCAGGTGAGGTGGAAGGCCTTGCAGGAAGAGACTGATCAGGAGACAGGCAAGACAAGCATCTGAACCCAGGAAGTGGACGGCACCCCAGTTTGGCCAGTGGGACACTGCAGATTTTGAAAACAAGGAACAGAAACTGAAATTTCTCAAACTTATGGGTGGCTCTAAGAATTTGTCCCCTTCAGTCAGCCACTCCCCTTGCATGACCGTAAGGCCCAACATGGCCCTCAGCAAGGTGACAGCCGACTCCCTACAGCAGAAGTTGCAGCAGGACTATGACCAGGCCATGAGCTGCAAGTACAACCAGGGTGCCAGACTTGGCTTCTCTGCCACCCCCAACAGAGACATCGACAAGCACCCGTCTAGGTCTGTCAGGCTGGAAGCTGAAGTGCTAATGCCTTCCACCAAACAGCTCAGAAGGCTTTTCTCAGTTTTGCAGATGAAAGCCACCTAGCAGCTGTCCAGGATGGAACACCTGTGGACACCTGGGGACAAACTGGGCAGCTCCTGTCCTGGGGGATAACACACATTTTTTCTGTTAGACCTTCGATCCCTGTGGTGACATGGGCATGTGAATAACGGCAGCTGACAGCTGGCATTTATGGGGGTACAGCGTGGCCAGGCACATACTGTTTTTTGCATTAATGATTTGATCATCATCATGAAGTAGGTGCTATTCATGAGGCAGCTGAGGGTTAGGGAATGAGTAATAAAGTTGCCCAGGGCCACCCACTGTTGACTGCCATGTGTTACAAGGTCATACCCTAAGCCCTAAGTCACCAATCATTATGAAAGTCTCTCCTAGGGACTTCCACCCAGAGTACTAGCTGGAGATTAAATGATGGATTAAACAAGAAAACAAATAAAAAAAAATCAGTAAGAGAGCTAAACACTGCCCACATACAATGACGCAGGGTAAACATTCCAAAGGGGGAAGCAGGAGCACGCAAAGAAATGGGACAGTAGCAAGACCAAAACCCAGCAAGGCAAACATTGAATTCTGCAGCTCCATGTGCAGCCCATGGGGTGGGCATGGCAAGATGCGATCTCCAGACGGTGGGCAGCCTTGCCGCTGTGGTGCTGCTGCTTGCAGCTTTCATGGACTCTTTCTTGGTGAGACTCTGTCCACTGCCTATAGCTTTCCTCAGGAAATGTTCCACATTTTTTACTTCACCTTCTTGAGCTCCCCACTGCACTGTCAGCTTCTCCTTCCCAGCTTCACACGATGCTCCCTCGGCACACTGCCTTGTGTCCCAGACCTTTGTCTACAATCTGCACGGAACGCTACATGACCCCACAACTCTTCATTCTACATGCCTATAAAAGCAGCCTCATATGGACACTGCCATGTTCTAGCAATGGGTCAGGCCTCCTTGGATCGTGGATGCAGTGGCCTCTACGTGTCTGGACAATGGAGCACTGTGAATGAATTCCAAGGCACCAGCTCCCTAGGAACAAGTTCACTAGGTGCCCGTCTAGAGGAGAAGGCCCTCTCCAGTGACTCTCTTCTCACATGAAAGCTTTATAGTTTTGCACCCTTGAGCATTTTAAGAGTGCAGTCTGGCTGTTTTCTGAGGTGCTATTGAGGCATCGTTCCTATTGTCCTGACACAAAGTAGTTAGCTTCTGTTTAGTGCTAATCGTCTTGACAACCAAGCTCTCCAAAGCAAAATCGTGGCGGGTACTTCTTTTCTGATGAAATTTTAAACTTTTCACATCTAACTTTTGCTTCAGCTTTTCATTATAAATTTACCTAAAAGCCACCAGTGCTACCCAAGTCCCAGCTTGAACGTTAGTCTGCTACAAAATTCCCTCCACCAGATCAACCGATGCGCAGCCCTAACCTCAGTCTCCTGTGATGTTTCAGGGTGGAGGCACAACGCACACTAATTTTCTGCCAGGGACAGTGCACTCGGCTGCGAGTGCAATTGCCAGCAGAGCGCTCGCTTCTGTTTGAAGCCTCTGAGCCAGGCCTCAACGGTCTGCAATTCTTCAGCGTTCTGGTATTCTTAGCTCTCACCAGAACCTCCCACAAAGTTCTGCCTACAGAGCTTTTACAGCTGGCATCTCCAGGTCTTCCCAACTCCTCCTACGTGCCAGATCCAAGGGCTTCTAAACCACGTGGCCAGATACAGGCACAGCACTACTGGGGACCAATGTCTGTCCACATCACTTTCCTCTCACTGAGACCCAGTGAG